GGGTACGGAGCCTGGAGATGCGGAGCCTGGGGGTGCGGAGCCTGACGATGCTGGGTTTGGGGCCCCTTCGGGTGCTTCATCGAGGCGGGAGCTACCCTCTCCACACGAGCTGCGCGAGTGGTTTGCCCGGCGCTGGAGCCGTGCTGCTGGAGCTGGAGGTGCTGCTGTTACTGCTGACCTTGGGGTCGGCACTGGAGTTACTGGAGCCACTTGTCCTGGAGGTGCTCGTACTAGCGGTACTGGAGCTGCTAGGCCTTGGGGTGCTGCTGTGACTGCTAGAGCTGACAGTCTCGCTGGAGCTGGAGCTCCTGGAGCTGGAGCTGCTGGGGGTGTTGGCGCTGGAGGTGCTGCTAGCGCTGGTGCTTCTGAGGGTGCTGGAGTTGGCGCTCTTGGAGCTCGAGGTGCTGCTGGCATTGGTGCTGCCACTAGGGGTACTGGTGTTGTCCCTGCTGGTTCTGGAGGCGCTGCGCGGCCGGGGCCGTACTTCGTTCCGCTCCTTGGGTAGGTTCTTGGTCTCCCGCCCACTACTGGTCCTGCTCCTCCCTTAGAGTGTCCACAACCTGTCCAGTCGCAGTCACAGTTACAGCCCGCCTCCCCCCTACCTGCTCCTTCTCCGTACACAGGTCCTACTGGAGGTCTTGCTGAGCGTCGTCAGCCTGCGTCTCGCCCTGCGTCACCTGTTCGTGCTGCTCGCACAAGTAGGCGTGCTCCGCGTCCGCGTCCTCCTGCGGTCCCAGGCAGACACCAGATGGCACTGCGTCCTTCCACTGCTCCTCTGCGTGTCCCGTTGCTGTCTCCTCCAGAGTCCTCTCTTCCTGTCCTTGTTGACCCGGAGTCTGACTCTCTTCGTGCTGCCAGTCCTACTGTCACGCGTCTCCTCGCTACTGTTGTCACTGACCCTTCCTTTGAGTCCACTGCTGCGTCTGCCTTGGTTGCTGAGCTTGTCGACTTTGATGCTCGCTGTCATCTAGACTACGCTGCTAATCTTGTTGCTAAGTCTGTGTCTGTCTGTCCTCCGTTCGTCGGGGGTGAGTGTGCTCTTAGCACGGACGTCCTCGAGGACAGGCAGGAGGAGTTCTAGTGTTTTGCTGTTGCTTTGCCTCATCTCGTGTCCACGCTGATTGCCTCTGAGGGAGACCCGGATGCACCAGACATCCTGACTCCTCGATCGTACGCTGAGGCGATCGAGGGTCCCTACTCCTCTCAGTGGCAGTCAGCCATGGACGCAGAGATGGCTTCCTGGAAGTCCACAGGCACCTACGTCGACGAGGTTCCCCCACCTGGAGCGAACATCGTCAGTGGCATGTGGATTTTCAGGGAGAAGCGGCCGCCGGGTTCTCCGACTGTCTTCAAGGCGCGTTACATGTCTCGAGGCTTCAGTCAGCGGCAGGGAGTTGACTACTTTCAGACCTTCTCTCCCACCCCGAAGATGACCACTCTTCGGGTGCTGTTGCACAAAGCCGCTCAGGGCGACTACGAGCTTCACTCTCTTGACTTAAGCACAGCTTTCCTGCAGGGCAGCCTGCACGAGGAGATCTGGCTGCGCCGCCCACCTGGCTTCACTGGGTCGTTTCCCTCTAGTACCCAGTGGAGCCTCCGGCGGCCAGTCTACGGTCTCCGCCAGGCGCCCCGTGAGTGGCATGACACACTAAGGACTACACTTGCGGCTCTTGGGTTTGCTCCTTCTACTGCCGACCCGTCGCTGTTTTTGCGCACCGACACCTCTTTGGCGCCGTTCTACATCCTCGTGTACGTCGACGACTTGGTCTTTGCCACTCCTGACACTGCTGGACTCGCCCACGTGAAAGTCGGAGCTGCAGAAGAGACACACGTGCACAGACGTGGGTGAACTGCGCAGCTACCTTGGCTTGAAGATCACCCGGGACAGAGCACAGCACACCATTACCCTGACTCAGTCACACATGGTGCAGCAGGTCCTTCAGCGCTTTGACTTCACGTGCTCCTCGCCTCAGGCCACTCCTCTACCTACTCGCCACTCGCTCTCAGCTCTGCCTTCGGATGAGTTCGTAGAGCTGAGTGGCCCGTACCCAAAGGTTGTTGGCTGCCTCATGTACCTGATGACCTGCACTCGACCTGACCTTGCATACCCTCTTAGCATCTTGGCACGCTATGTTGCTCCTGGGAGACACCAACCAGAGCACATGGCTATAGTGAAGAGGGTGTTGCGCTACTTGTGCAGTACGTCAGGCATGGGGCTAGTGCTTGGAGGGCGACGTTCAGTGGTCCTTACAGGTCACGCAGACGCTTCTTGGGCTAACGACCAGGCTACGCAGCGGTCGTCATAGGGTTACACCTTCAGCCTTGGTTCCGGCTCTGTTTCGTGGTGGTCTACCCGCTCGTCTTCTGTTCTCGACTCCAGCTGTGGGGCTGAGATCTATGTGGGGGCCATGGCTGCACAGGAGCTATGCTGGCTCACCTACTTGCTGACTGACCTAGGAGAGCCGCCTCGTTCTCCTCCAGTTCTGTACGTAGACAACAAGGCCATGCTGGCCTTGTGTCGAGAGCACAGAACGAAGCACATTGCTCTTCGCTACTTCCTTGCTCGTGAGCTGCAGCAGCGTGGTCAGCTGTGCCTTGCTTACGTGGCCTTTGAGGCCAACACTGCTGATATCTTTACCAAGGCACTTCCGCCTTGTGATCATCAGCGCTTATGTACAATGCAAGGTCTTGTGCCTACTTGGCCTCACTTGCTCACTTCTTGACCTTGCTTATATTGTAATCTTTCTATACCTGCACTTGCTTGTTTACCTTTGTATATGATCTTGCATGTGAACTGGCCTTGTGGCCTTCAACCTGTGCTCGGAATGTGTGGTGACGTTGTGATCCACCCTGAGCTTGCTTTGCTTTGTTTGACTGGTCTTGTTACCTCTTGTTCTCCCCCACTTTGCCTATCGGGGTGTGTCAAACTTATATGCTATAGTATGTGTAGGCTGTAGTGGGGTAGACAATATGGGGTACAATACTTTTAGGTTTTCCTACTTGTACCCACGTGCTTGCTAGTTCATTCATTCCTCATTTCTCACATGTTGCAGTGGAGGCGAAAGGTAGGCGAAGTTGTGATTTTTGCTTCCTGTAGTAGCTCCTGCAAGTACAGGCCTTCGCGAACTTCTGCTGTCACGGCAATGTATTCTGCTTCAGGCGATGATAGGGCAACCCGTTCTTGCTTCTGCGAGTTCTAGGAGATCGGTCCGGTTGGCTCCAGCTAGAAATTGAAACTGGTTCAGGATTTTTGATTCACAGGGTCATCGGCATGATCTGCGTCCACGTAGCTGTTGAGGTTGAAGGAGGTTGTTACCAGCGTGGAATAGGAAAGCCCGATATTAGGTGTGGAGATGAAGTAGTGCAGGGCGCGCTCCAGATCTAGCTGGTTCTTAGCTACTGGCTTGCGGGAGTAATGTGCTAGTTGGCTGGCAAAGTACGAAAGGTCGGGTCGGCATGTGATAGAGGCAAGCAGCTCACATCCCAGTTGCTGCTGGTATAGGTGGAGTCCGGTGGGCGACAGGGGTTTGTTGTCCGGTATGTAGTTGGCGCTGGGGTTGCGGTACGGAGTTGAGAGTGGTGTGGGCGAAATTTTGAAGTGTTCTCCCATCTGTTCTATGTTGTGTTCTATGTTGAGGCGCATAGGTGATGTTCAGACCTAGAAACTGAGAAACATTGTGGTTGATGGTGATGTCCACGCGCTTCGCTATGTTTTCCTCAAACTGGTTAAGGATCTTGTTGCAGGTGCCAGTGTACAGTAGGTCATCGACGTAGACAGTGAGGAGGATGTTGTCGCCGTTGAAGTGAAGGCGGAACATTCCCGGGTCGTGCGGCAATTGCTTGAAGCCAATCTCCAGGAGTATTTTGTGCAGGTGCTGCTGCCAGAGTCGCGGCACCTGCTTTATCTCATTGAGGGATTTCTTCAGTTAACAGACCCTGGGGTCTCCTTCTCCATAGGTGTGAGGTTGCTCCACAAACATGGTAGCATCCAATAGCGTGTATAAAAACACGTTTTCGACGTCGATCTGCCGCAGTGGTAGATGCTTAGCGGCGGTAATGGCGAGTAGAATCTTGACATAGGTGTGGAGGCTGACGGTGGCGAAGGTTTGATCGAAATCGATGTCGTGTCGCTAGTCCTAACCTCGTACAACTCATCGTGCCTTGAACTGTTCAATGGTTCCGTTAGCGTTAGTCTTGAGACGAAATACCCACTTTCCGCTTAGCACCCTCCTCCCCTTCACTGCTGCACGATTGACTAGGACCCATGTATCGAGTGACTCCAGCGCCTTCAGCTCTGCGTCCATGGCAGCACGCCACTCCTTAGCATGAGGGCCGTTTAGGGCTTAGCGCGGGTTCTTGGGCTCGACGGCGCGAGCGGAGGCTGAGACTGAGGCATGTAGGCCAAGGAGTTGTAGGCCAGACACGTTCGTGGTGCCTGCGGTGTCAGTGATGGGAACTACTACGTCATCGTCATCACTTTCATGGCCAGGTGAGGAGGTGCTTGGCTCGGCTTGGCGGCAGGATGGCCCAAGCGCGGGCGCGTCGTCACTGTCGTCGTTGTCATTGTCGGTGCGGGGGCGAGGCGGAACACCGGGATGGTCGTTGGCGGGATCTCGATCAAGTGCTACTGCTGCTGCCTCATCCTCCGGAGATGCGAAGTTGCGGCCGCCGTTGACGTAGGCGCGTGTGGTGTTGCTGCGCTGATCATCGTTCCACTGCTGCAAGGTGAGACGTTCGTAGAAGAAAATGTCGCGCGCAGGAACGATCTTGTTGGAGTAGGCTAGAGCTCGCTTTGGCCTTTATTTTGGCGTTCTTATATTATTTCTCCATGCTTAGAGAGAGTTACGCATTCAGGTTCATTTTAGGTTCATTTCGTAGTTTTTAGTACAAACCGAATATGCCCTAGGTTCAATTAGGGGTTCCAACCCTCTCTCTCTCGTACCTTGGCATTTCTCTTCCTAGTCCAACATCTTTCACCTCACCAAAATCTCTCGCCATCCATGGCTTCTCTAACTTCAACATGGTATTCAGAGCCTAGTCCCAGGCGTTTCCCTTTTATCCGCATCTCTTAGAAATTTTCTGGCCCTTAGGCCATTTCCGCGCTACTTAGCTAGACGATTTTCTTATTCTTCTATTTTCTCGTTTCCTTAAAGTCACACTTAGCATCCTCGCGGTTTTCTTCGTTTTAGTCACTTAGATGCTCTATTTCACTCCGTAGCGTGCCTCCCTATAGTCCGTATCGCTCTCCCGCGCCTTCCCCCTTCGTCACGCCTCCTCCTCCTCACGTTCCCGGCGGTAGCGCGCTGATTTTTGCTCGTAGCGCGCTCAGCCCCCCCCCCCCCCCCCCCCCCCCCCCCCCCTCCCCTCCGCCCCCCTCCCGTCTCGTCGCGCGCGCATTGCGCTACCGTCATCGCGCGCGCTTTGCTTTGTCAAGCAGCGCGCACGCCTACCTCCTCTGCAGTGCGCCCTGCCCTTTCCCAATCCTCCCTCCCCTCCCTCACCCTCCTCCTCCTTTCCTCTCTCTTTTGTGCATCCCTCCCTATCTCACCTCTTCCTCCTCTTTTCTCTCCTCATCTGCTGCAGCTCGTAAGTGCTTGTGGCGCGCCCTTCCCACGAATCCGCCCCTTCACCATCCTCCTCCTCTCCTCTCTCCCTCAACTCCCCTTCCACTCTTTGTCCTCCACCTCTTTTCTCTCCTCATCTGCTGCACCTGGTGGCTGATTGTGTCCTTTTGAAGTTGTTGCTCCTCCACACCTTTCCTCCTCCTCAGTACCCTCCCCTCAACTGCTCAACTACGAGCTCCTTCACAACCCTCCCTCCTCTTTTTTCTCCCTTCAGCAGCCCAGCAGCAGACAACCTCGCCGCTATCCCTCCTCCTTTTATTTCTCCCCTCAGCGGCGGAGCAGCAGACTACCTCGCCACTATCCCTCCTCCTCTAGTTTCTCCCCTCAGCGACGCAGCATCAGACTACTCCGCCACTATCCCTCCTCTAGTTTCTCTCCTTAGCCGCACAGCAGCAGACTTCTCCGCCACTATCCCTCCTCCTCTTGTTTCTCCCCTCAGCGGCTCAGCAGCAGACTACTCCGTCAATATCCCTCCTCCTCTTGATTCGCCCCCAAGCGGCTCAGCAGCAGACTGCTTCGCCCTTATTCCTCCACCTCTTATACCTCTCCCCTCATCTGCTCTACAGCTGTCTCCTCTTCCTTATGACGGCCTCTCTCGCCCTCCCCTCTCTCCCTCTACTGGTCCTTCAGCTTGCGCGTGATGGCAGCGCAGTCAACTTCCCCAGTTGGCTGAATTGTCTTGAGCGCACGCTGTTAGGCACCCTCGTGAGTGGCTTTAACCTCTGGTTTGTCACTCAGCAGAGTGGTTCTGACGCCATTCATAAACCTGCCTCTGCACCTACCTCTACCTCCTCTTACCCCTATGCTGATGGCCTTCGTGCTGCTATCGCTGAAACTGAGCGGATTGCGGCCACGGCCCAAGCCACTACTGCAGCCCGTGGCCTCGCTCGTGTTCTTGCTGAGTCCCTCGAAAGCACCCCCAAGCGCCTCACTGAGCACCTTGCTGCCCCCTCTCCTCGCTCTGCCTCTACGCCCTCTGCTTCTGCTCCATCTCACTCTGACCTTCTCGCTAACTGGCATGCTGCCAACGCACGTGCCTCCCATGTCATCCTTGACTGCCTACCTCTAACCCTTCTCCCTCAGTGCTCGCACATCCGCTATGCCAAAGAACTTCTTAGCTATCTTACTGAGCGCTTCCAGTCGCAGACTCCCATCAATGTCATTGCCCTCTTACGCGAGCTCACCTCTCTTCGCCTTGCAGACTTCACCACCATGGCGGACTACATCGCTCGTGTGCAGACGCTGTCCTCCCAACTTGCCGCTCAAAAGTTTGAACTTTCCAATCATGTGTGCGGCGCCCTCCTCCTCACAGGCCTCACTCCTAAATACAGTATTCATCTCACCCTGTATGGTAAGCACCCCGCCAACCAGTGGTCGTTCTCTCGTGTCTCTGCCTTCCTCCTCCAGGCTGAGCTCAACCTCCGCAGCTGCCCTCCTACTGCCGCTGCTATCACACCCTCTTTCGCCCCCCCTTCTCTCTCCACCTCTACGGCCGCCGCTGCTTCCTCTCGCCCTCACAACACCTTTCCTCCTTGCACCTACATCATTCGCCAGGGGCCCCGTAAAGGTCAGCCTTGCGGTCGCACCAATCATCCCGCCTCCTCCTTCTTCCTAGAAGCTCACTGATGTCTGGTTCCTGACTGGCAACACTGGTCGCCCTCCCAACTGGCTTCAACTCTCTCGTCAGCATCGCCAGTCTTCTGCCCAGGCGGTACTTGTGGCTGCCGAATCTGGTACTAGTGCTCAAACCTCTGCTCTCAGTGTGACTATGCCTAGTCAAGATAGCATTCTGGGGGCTTCTCCCCTTATGGACCCTCGTTTTGCCATGATGTTTGCTCCTTTTGTTAATGGCAATGATTCTTAGTATCTTGGTCCCACAGCTGCTGCTCTTTCTCTCCCTTGCACTCTTGAGTTTGTTCTTGACAGTGGTGCTACTGACTCTATTTTTTGTGACGCTGGTGTGCTTCGCTCTTTTACACATCCCCTCTTGATTCAAGGGGCTGGGCATACCATGACCATGATTTGCACTACTACCTCCTCTCTTCCCTGTCCTGCCTCCCCCTCTGGTGCTGTGACTGGCCTCTATGTTCCTTCTTGCCGCCACAACTTTCTTTCTCTCTCTGCTCTTCAACGTCTTTGTGTGCGAGCTATCTTCCCTGAATGTGACTCCTATTGTGATCTCTATCATCGCAATTGACATGTTGCACGCTTCACTCTTTCCCCTATCACTCGCCTCTACACTCTTCGTATCTCTCTCCCCCCTTCTGCCCATCATGCCTCTTCCGCTTCCGCTCCTCCTGTTCCTTCTTGCGACTGTCGTTCTCTCACTCAACCTACCCTTCTCCTCCATCATCGACTTGGCCACCCCAATTTTCCCCTTCTTTGCAGTATGGTCTCCTCCAAGCTTCTTCATGGCCTCCCTTCCTCTCTCCCCCCCCTTCCTCCCTCTCCTGCTCCTCCATGCATCCCATGTGTCCAGGCCAAATTATCCCAGTAACCCCATCCCTCTTCTCCCTCTACCTCTCCCCAACCCCTTGACCTTGTTCACATGACCCTCTGGGGTCCTTCACCTACTGCTTCTCGTCAGGATCATTGCTACTTTCTGCTTTTGGTTGATGACCACTCACGATTTGCCACTGTCTATCCCCTCCTTGCCAAATCTGATGCTCCCTCCTTCATCATTCGCTGGGCTGAGCAGGCTCGTCTACGCTTTAAGCGGCCTGTCGCCCGCTTCCACTCGCATGTGGTGGCGAATTCTTTAATCACTCTCTCTCCTCTTACTGTGCCTCTCATGGCATTCGCCAGACCTCCACTCTTCCTCACTCACCAAAACAGAGTGGGGTTGCCAAGCGTCGCAATCGCACTCTCATGGAAATCACTCGCTACCTTCTCACCCATGCCTCTGCTCCCCACTCTCTTTGGAGCTATGCTTTCCTCCATGCCACTCCCCTCTCTAACCTCCGCCCTCATCCTCTTCGCCCTACTACCACCCCCTTCCAGCTTTGGACTAGCCGCCAGCCCTCTGTTCGTCCTCTTTGGGTCTAGGGGTGTGTTGCCCATGTTCCTGTCAATCCAGCAGACCGATCCTATCAGGGTGGGAAACTCGCTCCCAAGACGCAGATCTGTGCATTCCTTGGCATAAACTCTGACTATCCTGGCTATCTTTTCTATGCCCCTTCCTCTCACCAACTCATCCGCAGCCAGGACGTCATTTTCGATGAGAATCAATCCCCATACCATTCCCCCCCACCCGCCCCTCTTGTCCCCTCTCTTCACTGGTCTGATTTCGATCAGCCGTCGTCTGTCCTTCCCTCCCCTCCTACCCCCCCTCCTATCCCGCCCTTTCCCGCCCCTCCCTCCGCGCCAGCCTCTACTGCCCCCCCTTCCGACATCATCTCTGGCGCCTCCCCACCCGCCTCTTCCTCTTCAGCTCCCCTCCCTTCCTCACTTCCATCTTCCTCTCCACCTCCTTCGCCTGTTCCCATTCCCCCCCCTTCCCCACGCCTTACTCGCTCCATGACTCACGCACTTTTTAATTTTCAGCACTCTGCTCTTTTCACTCGTCTTTCTCCATCCCAGAATGTTACTCTTCTTGAAGATCGGTTTGAGGAGCTCTTCAACATTCATCTTGTTTCTCCTCTCCTGTGTGTCACCGTTGGTGACTTTAGCATTTCTCCCACTCTTCTTTGTATCGACACCGCTGCCATTCCCACCCCTCAGTCCTACTTCGAAGCTGTGTCGGGCTTTCATGCCACTGAGTGGATGGCTGCCATCATCGCTGAGTGTGAGGCATTTACCAGAACTAATTCCTACATTGACTTTGTTCCCCCCCCTGGCGCCACCATTGTCAAAGGCAAATGGGTCTTCCGTGTCAAGCAGCTGCCCGGCGAACTTCCTGTCTTCAAGGCCCGCTAGTGCGCCAAGGGGTTCACTCAGCGTGAAGGCATTGATTACTTTGCCACTTACTCCCCCATAGCACGTCTCCCCACTCTCCGCCTCCTTCTTGACTTAGGTGCTCGCTGGAATTGGGAGATCCATTCCATGGACGTTTCCAATGCTTTCCTCTAGGGCGAGCTGCATGAGCGCATATTCCTTGAGCGTCACGCTGGCTTTCCTTGCCCTTTCCCTCCAGGCACGGTTTGGGAATTGAAACGAACTGTGTATGGCCTTAAACAGGCCCCACGCGAGTGGCACGCCAAGCTTGCCTCCACCCTTCACTCTCTTGGCTTCTCTACCTCCACCTCCAACCCCAGTCTTTTCATTCGCACATCCCCCCATAGGCTTTACATCCTTGCCTATGTGGACGATTTGGTACTGCTTGCTGAGGACTCCGCCGATCTTGCAACTGTCAAGAAAGGCCTGCAGGCGCATCTCATGTGCAAGGATCTTGGTGAGCTTCGTCACTACCTCGACATGGAGATGCGTCGTGATCGTGCTGCCTGCACCATCTCTCTCTACCAGTTTTTCTACATCCAGTCCATCCTCCAGTGGTTCGAGATGTCGCAACCCAAGCCAGTCTCCACCCCTCTTCCCGCTAACCATCAGCTCACTGCCCCTGCCGTCCTTGCTCCCTCCTCTGAGCTACGGCCTTATCCTGAGCTCGTTGGATCTCTCATGTATGCTATGATGTGAACTCGCCCCGACCTTGCTTACCCCCTCAGTGTTCTCTCTCGCTTTGTTGGTCTAGGCCGCCACACTGACGTGCACTGGGCGGCTGCTAAGTGCGTCCTGCGCTATCTGCGCGCCACCTCTGACCTTGCTCTCACTCTTGGTGGCTCTTTTCCTCCCGTTCTCTCCGACTACAGTGACTCTTCCTATGCTGACTCCCACCCTGATCGCCGCTCATCTCAGGGCTATGGTTTTACTCTTGGCAGTGGTCTCATCAGCTGGCGCTCTACTCGCTCATCCTCTGTCTGCCTTTCCACCTGCGATGCTGAGTTGTACGTAGGCACCTTGAAAGCTCAGGAGGCTCGCTGGCTCTCCTTTCTCCTTGCTGAGCTTGGTCACTCTCAGTCCTCTGTGACTCTGTCTTGTGACAGTGTGAGCATGATTCATCTCACTGAAAATCCTGTCTATCACGCTCGTAGCAAGCATATCGAGGTCTGCTATTTCTTTGTGCGCGAGCTGGTGCAATTTGGCTTCTTACGTCTTCGCAAGGTGGACGCTGCTGCCAACCTTGCTGACATTTTCACCAAGGCCCTTCTGCGTGCGCCACACCGTTTCTACGTGCGTGAGCTTGGGCTCACGCGTCTCTCCACTTCTGAGGGTGTGCCGGTTTGCTAAGTGTTTTTCTCCAGAGCTTCACCTAGCATGGGGGTGTGTTGGAGTAGGCTAGAGCTCGCTCTGGCCTTTATTTTGGTGTTACGCATGCTTAGAGAGAGTTACGCATTCAAGTTCGTTTTATGTTCATTTCGTAGTTTTTAGTACAAACCGAACACGCCCTAGGTTCAATTAGGGTTTCCAACCCTCTCTCTTTTGTACCTCGACATTTCTCTTCCTAGTCCAGCTTCTTTCACCTCACCAAAATCTCTCGCCATCCATGGCTTCTCTAACTTCAACACATGTTAGTGTCAATGTTGAGGATCAGCCACCCTTGATACTCATAGCTGAGTCCCAGGTGAACTCCCCAGCGTGCGCGATGAGTGAACTTCTCGATGGTGGCGGATGTCGGCCGATACTGCACCACACACGCCCAGGCCTTCAGCACGGAGGTATTTCCCCTTGAGCCGGTCCATTTCATGCGTCGGGAGAGATTTCCCCGGTTGGCTGTGGTGGAGAGCAGGTTGTGCAAGCGCACGGCGTGGTTCATGGCGTACGGCCAGTACTTCTGGGGTAGGCCAGACTGGTTCATGAGCGCGCGCACCTTCGTCATGAATGTGCGGTTGACTCTCTCAGCGACGCCTTCCTGCGGGTGAGCATATGGAAGAGAAATCTGATGCTTGATCCCCTTTTCCGCGAGAACTCCCTCCACTTCGGTGCTGCGAAACTCCTTGGCGCCGTCAGTCTGCCAGATTTTCAGTTTCTTTCCGGATTCCCGCTGTGTATGTGCAAGCAAGATGCGGAAGATTTCGGGAGCCTTGGAGCGGACGTTAACGTTGGCGATCCAGACGTGGCGTGAGTAAGCGTCGATGAAGATCAGTGTGTATTGTTCGCCGTTGATGCCCTCGGAAGTGAGTACGATGAAGTTGCTGTAGAACTTCTGCAGCTTCTTGTAGCGGTTGGTGTTGGGCTCCAGGGAAGGGTATGCTTGGTGTGTGAGGGTTGCAGTGGGACAGATGGTACAGGTGGTTGGGTGTGTTGTGCTAAGAGGTTCTGTGCCATCAGGACGCAGCAATGCTGATGGAAGGAAAAATCTGGCGCAGAGGCAGTTCTTGAATGTCTGGCGTGAGGGGTGACTGAGTCGCTGATGCCAGAGGTCATCATCTACGCGAATTCCGGAAGTGCGCAGGTAGCTTAAGTGGTACTTCGCCGCTTCTGCTTCTGATTCATGAGGGATAAGGAGCACGGATCCTTCTTCTTCTTCTTCTTCTTCTTCTTCTTCTTCTTCTTCTTCTTCTTCTTCTTCTTCTTCTTCTTCTTCTTCTTCTTCTTCTTCTTCTTCTTCTTCTTCTTCTTCTTCTTCTTCTTCTTCTTCTTCTTCTTCTTCTTCTTCTTCTTCTTCTTCTTCTGATTTTGCTTCGTTGTCCTACTCCTCTGCTTCTGATTCTGCTGTTGTCTTACCTTCTGCAGGTGCTGTCATGAGGTAGAGCGCAAGGAAGTTGTGATCGGGGATGATGTTCAGTGGTGTCCTCATGCCTTCAATGAATCTTGCGATTGGGTCTGAGCGGGAAATTGGACCAAATGCGTCACGCGGAGGAGTTGGTGGCACGTTCCCCTCCTCAATCTCCGACCAAGGATCTCTCCAGCGGCGAGGTGAGCGGGGAGGTGAAGAAAGGTTGCGCAGAGGTTGTCCTAGAGGGACAGGAACTCGTGGGGGAGATCTTTCTTCAACCATCTCTTTCTCCACTGCTTCTATTTCTTCAAGGGTAAGATCTCCTTCGGCGAAGTTTCGTTGATCAAGGTTGCTCCATCCGCCAGATCCCTAGCCTTGAACGCTGCCCGAGGCGCCAGTTGCGGATCCCCACGTTGCATCTGTGCTTGCGTCGTCGCCTCGCCATCCACCGTGTCATGCTGTTTCTTTGTCCCATCCGGCCGCTA